CAAGGGGATTTTCTATGTAACTACATACCACAACCTCGTGCCAAGCGTAGCACAGTCTCATTCACCTCTATGGACAAAAATATTACAAAATAATTTTTGCCTTTCTCTGGATCGGTTTAGGCTTTTCTTTTCTCCCCTCCATATCTCTAGGTTGAACTCGATGGGTGCATGTCTTTTTTCAACCTAACTATGCAACTATGTAAATCCAAAAGATACATATTTACTCTCTGGTGCAAAAATTAGTAAGAAATTAGGTGAGAAATGGCAATTAGCAAAACTTTGTGTGAAAACCAAATATTTGTTTTTAGTGGCTCTTCAATGATTTGAATGAGAATAATAATAATAATATTGCTAGGTACAGATATGAGTGATTCCGGGACGCACGATCATGCATAATTGCACACAGCAATTGCTAAAAAAAAAAAAAAAACTTTTTTGCGACACATGGCTTTTTTTTCATGATCAGTTGCATAGGCGGTATCGCGGCGGGAAACAACGTGATCTGCCCGGCACGACTGGGGAAGCCATTAGAAAATAATGGCACCCCCAGCGCAATCAGCAGTGGTGGACGATTCCGTGACCGTGTGGCCACCCGCCCGGTTTTGTGCACGATTGCAGTCGCGGATCGCCCAGGTGTGAACCTAGCCTAAATGATTTTACACTTCTGCCGTGCCTGCAATTTCTGATTTATTAGCGAGATTTAAATCCTGGCAGAGTTCATTTAGGAGGTGGAGTAGATTCTACTGCAGCAGCTGGCAAAGTGATTTTTACCTTGAAAAAGAGAGGTAACAAAGCCTGAGATCCCAGGAGAGAGCAATTAGGCTCCATTCACACATAGTGGTAGCATTGCGGAACGAAACTGCGCTAACATTAACATACGCTTGGATCCCGCACGTTTGGGGCTATTACTACCATAAAATCACGCTTGGACTATTTTTCGGGACACGCGGTTCCGTACCCCAATAGTCTAAACAATGCACATTGCAATGCATTGTTTTTTACGTTTGTCACGGTTCCACGCGTATTCATATGGCGGGAAAACCGCTCATGTGTAAATGGAGCCCTGGAGGTGGAGCAGATTCTACTGGGGGAACATTGCCACAGATGTCCTAGAAAGCACGATTTACCCTAAAGGTAAAATTGTCTGGAGAGTGATATTTTAGTTTTAGGTGGAGGGTGTTTATCATTGAAGGTTCAGTAAATACAAGAAAGAATACTCGATTTCGACACAGAATGTTTTGCCAATTCTAGCACTGCACACCAGTTACTAATCTTGCACCAGAGACTTTATACATACATACATACATACATATCCAAAGTAGGTATAGGGAAACTCACGGGTCTTGCAGCGGAGAGAAGAAGTCAAAGCATCAGCATTTTAATGTCAACATTTCAAAGGAACGGAGTACATCTGACAGGGTTGATACAGATGGGCTGAGCTCTCCGTTCCATGATCCGCGAGTGTCTCTAGACCTACTTTGGATTTGAATGGAGATTTTTGTGGATGAGCACCCAGAAAGTTACCTCATAAATATCAAATATTGTGTGACTTACCCTTGGGACTATATCATTTTTTTTTTACAATAATAATTTTGCATTGAGTTTGAACATCATACTGGTTTATATAATTTAATGATTTGTCATATGCATTTTTTGTTATCACTAGTGGTGGTGAGTCCCCGTTCATACCCAGGCGTCAGTGTTTCAGCACGTTTTACACACGGTTCACTTTGCGCACTTTCCCCTAAATAGATGCACGTTTTGGACGGGTTTCTGCATATGGTGTATTGAGTGCTGTCCCATGAAAACAAGTCCTGTCCATGACATAATAAACTCATACACATTAGCCAAAGTGTTAACAACATCAACCTTTCAGCAGTTGTGGAACTACAAGTCCTGTGATGCATAAATGTCTGTACACCAAGAAAAGAAACATGAATGACACGCAGAGGTAGCTGCATACTGGGATTTGTAGTTCCACAACACGGAGATCTGCAGCTGCACAGACCTACAATAGCCACACAAGCAAACAGAAACATAAGCTACAACAGTATCACAACAAACTTTAGATACACCACATGTCACATGCACATGTTGTACCTTTGCTGTTCTTCAGGGATGGAGGGAAAGATTCCCATTCTGGCAAAATCTGGCAAGCAATTTGCATCCAAGCCTGCCTCCTCCTTCCTCTGTTTCTGTAAAGGGGGTTGCGCAGGTCATACTGGCATGGTTGTGCCTATATTAGACTTATAAATGCCTCAGAATCAAAATTTTGCAGACATGAATCAGCCATTTTGTTTCCTAGTGTGCTTTGCATGTGGTCTTCCACAAAGTATATGCGCCCTAAAAAAACGCACATTTTTGCACGAAAACACTCAAAAACCCAAACGCCCGTTTTCGTTGCATTTTCCATTGAAATCTATAGAGCACAAACGTGCTGGATCGGCCTGAAAGAAGCTCATGCACCTTTTCCAGCATTCAGCGTTTTTACAGCTTGATGCTAAACTCTCAGGTGTAAAAAGGGGCCATAGAAATTAATAGGAATTCTTGTGTTGCGAGTTTGGACGCTTAAAAAGGAGAATTATGAGGAGTGATTTTCACTCAGCCTCATAATCTGAGACGACTAGTGACAATGAGACTGTCACAGGTCGGCTCAGTAGATCGGGAAGTGAGCGAACACATACCGCCGCTCGCTCCCTTCTCGATCTATCCCTGCAGCGAGCCATGACTGTCACTTACGGTTCCCTGCAGGGATCCCCCCCTCCCCTGTCCGATCCTCCAGCGCTGACTGGCGGAACGGACGGGGGAGGGGGCAGGTACAGCTGGCTCTGCCTCTAGATAGGAAGAGGCAGCTTCACTCACGCAGCTGGGTGGATCCAGACAGAATTGTCGGTATCCGTTCCGGTGTCTCAGTGTACCAACTGAGCTTTGGGTGACGGGAGGAAGCTACTTTGTGTCCTCCCATTACCCTTAGGAGATCTATGGGGAAAAGCCCTGAACCCATAGTTCTCCTTTAAGCTTTCAGCGTCAAAACGCCCAGGTGTGAACAGGGAATTTGGGTTGTGTTGATTTACTTATATAGAAAAGTGCTGCATTATTTATATGTTAAAAAAAGAACAATATTCCTTCCCCCAGTTCAGACCCATTCCTGGCCCTGCCAAAAAAGTGGACTATCTACTAGGAGAGATGTCCACACTGTGGGGTTCATTATCCAGCTTTATGTAGAAGAAAGCATAGTACCGTATATACTCGAGTATAAGCCGAGATTTTCAGCCCATTTTTTTTGCTGAAAAGCTTATACTCGAAGCCTTTACAGCCAGTATTGTAAGGGCTAGTTTTTATGATTTATCCTTTTTTTTGCTTAATAAAAAGTGATACAACAATAGGAAAGGTTAGAAGAAAGATGCGCGTTGGAGAATTGATGACGAGTGATTTCTGCAGCCTGAAGATACATATACTATATATACTGCTCTCAAGGCTCTACAATCCCTGACTAAGCCAGAAATAAAAAGCAAGCTGAACTCAGCCATAGAGCAGTTTCCGCTGCATTTATTATATACTTTGCATATCAGTGGTGTATATAGAACAAGAATGCCCTAATGACAATTCAATGACAAGAGTGAAGCAACTGACAAGTTATTTTTCATGATTTAACTAGGTACATCAGACAATTATCTGGCTTAGGAATGTACTTTCCTCTAGAACATTTTATTAAATAATACAGCTTTCTGGTTAACTCAGATCATATCTTCATAGAAATGATATAGGGACGGATTTGTATTAAAATTCCTTCAGTAAGGCTTGGTTCCCACCTGGGCATTTTACAGCGCATTCCTACGCGCTGTAAAACGCTCAACATGTGAAAACCAATAATTGCCTATGGGCATGGTTCCCACCTGGGCGTATTACAGCGCGTAGGAACGCGCTGTAAAACGCCCTACGCGCAAAGAAGTAGAGGAGCTTCTTTGGGGCATATTTGCCGTGCGTATCCATTAGCATACAGCCGGATAGCCCTCGGAAAGGCGCGTTTCTTTTACCACAAATCGCGGTAAAACCGCGTGGCACGAAACGCCCAGGTGTAAACACAGCCTTAACGTTATCACTTTTAGAGCATAAGAAGGCCAGGGTACAGAAGGTCTTGAGCAAGTTCTCCCAAGAAACAGATGGCGACACCACCAAAACCAGTACAGTTTAATTGGTTTCTTTTAAGTTTAACAGGAGAAAACATCCAATTCGTTTCGGGGATCCACAAAATTCCTCATCAGGGCTTGTAGATTGCTTTGTTAATAAGGTCCTTTCAGAAGAGTATGGACTAGAGTTAAACATGTTGTGATAATAAATATATGTGTTACATAAGTGTCTGCAGATGAGACCGTATTTTCTTTAAAAAAGGTAATTCCACCTTTGGAAAGAAATAATGAACCCAAACTGCTTCATAAAAGAAAAAATACAAATGTGCATGTATTATTTTTTTGCATTGGAGCCAGTGAAGCAATAAAACTGATCAGTAGATCACAGGTGTAATGCTCTGGTTCCTGCAGAGTGTCCCTCCCGTCCATGTCGGTACCACAGTACTGACATTTAGTAACATGGATGGGAGAATGTGTCGATGGACTGCAAGTGCGGTGCCACATTGAAACTACAAGTCTCTTTTCCACACTGGTGAATGGGATGTGTAGTCTCTGTATTCACAGATCCTGTTAAAGGGTGTCATTGCAAATTTCAACAGTGGCAGCCTGCAGGGTAAAGAACCCCATGATTTAGGTAAGTGGGGGCTTGGCAGGGGGGGGGGGTCTGACCATGAAATATGGGTGTAACATGAAACATGGTAAGCCTTTAAAAAATACCATTTTATCTGCAGACACTTTAATATACGCGTTACATATTGTAATCTTTATCATAAATATATCTACATGGGGCTCTACTGGTTTTGGTGGTACCCCCGTCTGTTTCTTGGTTGAGTTTGCACAAGACCCTCTCCTTTTGTTTTGGGAGTCCCTTTGTCTGTGTGGGAGCAGCTCAAAGAAGAACGTCCCAATGTGGGATAGAAGCAAGTGTCTTTATCAGAGAAGGAACATATTTTCACTATGGATCTACTTTATTTTAACCACTTCCTGTTGGCCTGATACCTGCATGCAGAAACATTGGGTGGGCTTGAACGCCTGGCCTCCGCATATGTGTATCCACTGCTCTTTGTGCTTTACTGCACGCTCCCAGCATAGTGACCAAGCTGTCATGGTTTGTGTTTGAGTACATACAGGGTGCATCCAAGATTTTACATCCATTATTCTGATTCCAATGGTTGTAACAGAATATAGCCCTTTCTGAGACCTCTTTACCTGGCCTGTATGTAGCAGATACAATCACTGCAGACATCAAATAGTTGAACTCAAATACTTTACATCCACGATGATCTTTATTGCATGCAGCAGGATTCTGGCAAACAATATGTGTTGTAGATGGTTGTATTCGAAGGTCATAAAGAAATATTTCTAACCTCATGTCTGGCCTAACGATGGCAGAATCTCACACTGAGGAACTGAGGAAGGAGGAGTAATGTAATACACACAATGGGGGGGGCGGGGGGGGGGATTTATCAAAACTGGAGCAGACAGAATCATGGCAACCAAACAGCGTCTATCTTGAGTTTGTTCAGTAAAGCTTTGAAAATGAAAGAAGCCGACTGGTTGCCGTGGGCAACTTCTCCAGTTTTGATAAATTCCCCTCATGACCACAAGGTGGCAGCATAACAGAATACTAAATATGCAATGCAACTAAATTGCTCATTAAACGGCTGGAAGCAGCACACCTGTGCACATGCACAGGTTTGCACAGTTTGAGCATATACCCACCACCAACAGTCACTGACATTAATGTGAGGCTTTATGCTGCACCTGAAGCTCTGTCAGTGGAAATACACTGACAACTATAGTGTACAGGGGCTGGCGTCTGTATGCAAGAGCCCTAAGGCAACAGAGAACTTGGAAAGTGGATTCATAGCGGCTACAGCAAGCATCGTTAAAAGAGATGAAGAGATTTTCCAGGCATTTGTTCTGATATCATTATTGGAAGCGAGCCTGCATCATCCCTGGTTCCTCCTTTACTTCTGGTGATGGGCTGTGTCTTTGTATTACATTATTTTGCGTCAATGGCAGTTTGAAAGTATAAAGAACACTGAAGTCAGCTGATGTTCTGTAAATGAGTAACTTTACTTCATCTAATTACACGGGATAAAAGGTTCTCAGTTTATCCTGTGGCTCCTTCTTGGCACATTTGTGCACTCATCCGGTGGTGGAACAACTGAAGATAGGGATTACGCATTGGGGACCACAACATGAAACCAAACTGACCATATTACTTTGAAGTTCATCAGATTTCCTTAAAGGAGAACTATGGAGGTGAGTGCTTTTCACTCACCTCATAGTTTTAGCAGACCTGAGACTGTCACAGGTCGGCTTAGTAGATCGAGAAGTGAGCGAACACATACCAGCGTTCACGCACATCTCGATCCTGTCACAGCTCTCTGCCGTGACAGGGGAGAGACTGGATTCCCCCCTCCGATAGCGCTGACTGGCGGATCGGATGGGGGAGGGGGCGGGTACAGCTGGCTCTGCCTCTAGATAGGCAGAGCCAGCTGTCACTCACGCAGCTGGGCGGATCCAGACATAATTGTCGGGATCTGCTTCAGCGTCTCAGTATTACGCGAGCTGTAGCTCCCGGTATACTGAGCTTAGGGTGACGGAAGGACGCTAGTTTGTGTCCTCCCGTTACCCTAAGGAGAACTATGGGGAAAAGCCTTAACCCCATAGTTCTCCTTTAAGCTGGTCATACACGGTTATATTTTGTTCCTTCAACCTCAATGACAAAAATATTAACAGATTCTTCCATCCACGTTAACCAGTGTGGGTGGACGAACCTCTCGCTTTGTATTCTGACATCTACAGGTGTGCCACTCTCAGAATACCTGAACAGTGATGGCAGCTGACAGCTCTACTGATCTAAGGACACCGGATAGAAGGCTGCCAACAGGGCCACCCATTGATGGCATTTTGGCTGGTTCATCAAGAAATGTGTAGAGTGCAAGACCAGCTTTAGTTTTTCTTCTCTAAACTGCTAGACTGATTTCTGCATTGATTCTTTGGGTAGCTGCTCATCACTGCACTTTTGCTGCCCCAAGTATTAGTGACAGGATCACTTCCATTTTAGAGAGTCGGCTTCGGTCTCTGTAATAGAAGCGACAGCTGACCTATCTCTTCAATATACTGAATGCTGCCACCGCCCCTACATGTTTGCTGGTCTCATCTGGGTCCTGGGGGAGCCAAATGGTGGGGAGATGACAAACTTTCTGTTTTTCAATCTCTCATGTGATCAATAAACTTGGAAGCACTCAGCTCTGAGCACTTTCAGGTTCATGGCTGTCAGGTCATTGTGTATTCAATCAGCTTGAACGGTGTGCAGAGAAGGCATTAGAGGCTAACAGACCCCTGATGTCCCCCTAAAGAAATCCTGCCACCAAAAAATTGCTCTCACATAAGGCTTGTCAGCCCCCTTGTAGTAGTAATGAAGGGAAGTAAAAACAAACAAATGTAAGATACCGTACATTACAACAAATTAAAAACATGTTTAAAGCCCCTCCCCATATACAAATGCACATGTAAAGGGGTCAAGCTGAGTTGATGAGCTGCGAAGATTTTAAAGCATCGCCCGATGACAATTTCAAAATGTACGTTTTGACATCTCTTTACGGGACTAACCTTGTATATTTTACAGAAGATTTGGAGAGTTTATGGCTTGTGTGCACTAAATTTTTTTACTGAACATATAGATCTTGATGAACAGTTGAACAGAAAAAAGAAAAGAAAAACAAAAATTAGCAACTACCCCTAGTTTATTCTAAAGGTCTTCTGCTTTCAGAAAATATATACTATTTTGGGGTTTATGGGCATTTTCATGTAGAAAGCTCAAATCTGCATTGAAGCACGAATGCAAAAAATGACAAAAAGTTTTTTAAAAAAAGCTCTGGCAGCAAAAGCGTTAAATTACTCCACAGTGTCTGCGTGTGAAGCTGTTCCCAGCATTATTCAAGTGAATTACACGAATACGGTATATCGAGAGGATTAGGAGGTACCTGCAGACAAATGCGAGAACAGAGAAATTCTAGGCAGCATTAAAAGGGGAACTCCACCTATGCACAAAGTTAACCCTGGCCATGCAAGGGTTAACTGCTCATCTTGGGGCCGGAATAAAGAAGATATACTCACCGGATCCTCTATCCTGTGGTGGTGACCACTCACCTCTCTTCCCCTTCCACTCTGGCTGTGGCATGTCCCTCTGCATTCGCTAGGGCTGTAACTAACGATTATTTCCATTAAATCGATTATGTATTCGATTAAATCGGATAAAAAAATACCTTTTCGTTCAAATAAAATACACACATGGAGTTTTACAAACAAAGTTTGCTACAAAATAAAACTGCATGCACAATTTTTATTTGCCAGGTGCTTCCATTCAAAGTCTATGGGGCCATAAACGCACAATTCTGCTCCCGTACGTCACATGTCTTGCACATACAAAAAAGCTTCTAATTGTCCTGGCTACGCTTAGGTGTGAATGGTGCTTTAGTGAGGGGCTCATGCGAGCCATGAGATAACACGCATGCACAGACTTGCTCCAGGTCCCAAATACCAGAAACTGACAACACATCTGCACAGGTGATGGCAGTGTGGAAGCAGAGTGCAGCAAGGAGAACTTTGGTTAACGCTGGAGTACATGGACTAATACATATTTCTATCATGATACAAAAAACATTATTAGAAGGAATTTGGTTGAACCTATAGAAGGGCGCAGTTCCTCTTTAATGATGACGACACGGGAAAGGGGAGGAGCCTCCGACAGCTACCGAGAAATGAATGAATGTGCGCCACACCGAGCAGGGATAGATTGTCCTATTGTCCCCATCACACAGATCTCTCCATATAACCGAACACGTGATATGTATGTAGTGTGCTCTCAGTCATACAGACGTCTCACAGAGCCGGTCACTTACCCGTCCTTGCAGGAGATGTCAGCAGAGGAAGATGCCGGTTGAGCTTTCCTGTAAGACGATCTCCGGAGTAAGCTTCATATCAGCTTCCTATTCCCCTCCCCAACACATCTCTCCACTGTGCGGCCACGCCTCTTTCCCCCGCCCCCTCTTATACAAAGCCCCGAGCTGTAAGGAGAGTTCACGTGTACGGAGCTGACGGGGAGAAGATGAGTCACCTGATGCGGCTCTAAGAATGGCAGTAGGACAAAGGTGATTCTGCCAGCCAGTTCTCTCACTGATGACTGCACAATTCAGCTGATTGTTGTTGGGCCATTCCCTGTGCTTCCATTCACACCATCTCCCTTCGTACTTCTCTATTACCATAGCCACTCTCCTCCACACTTTGTCTATCTCAGCACTCCAGATGTTGTGGAACTACAAGTCCCATGAGGCATTGCAAGACCAGAGGCATACTGGGATTTGTAGTTCCACAGGTGGAGTGCCCAGTTTGCGTACCCCTGGTCTATTACCTGCACTTCAGTTCAAGTTTTCTGTTTGCTCCCCACTCTTGACATTCTCTTCCATGTTTACACTTCCTTGCTATACTCGCCTTTGTAGCCATTGTTCTCAACTTCCAGTGTTGCTAGGTTTATTGTGTAGCACAGGGATAGGCATCCTGAGCACTCCTGCTGTAGTGAAACTGCAAATCCCATCATGCCTCTTGGAGTCATGCCTGTGGCTGTCAGAGTCTTTCATTGCCTCATGGGACTTGTAGTACAGCTGGAGGGCCAAAGTTGCCTGCCTCTTGTGTAGCACATCTCCACTTCCAGCAAAGCTCCTCTCCGTTCAGGGTCACAGAAAAAGAAGTGGGGATTGTCACCCTTCACTGCCTCACATTACTTGTATCTATAAGACTGCAGTCTGAGTGTAAGCATAACAGGAGATTTTGGAGCATTTGTGTGTTTCTGCATGTTTGTTCGGGCATATTCTGGCTTGAAGGTTTTTGTTTTAGGCAATGGAAAGCTAGGTACTAGGAGAAGGGGATGTTTGCTTAGCCTTGAGAAACACTCATTTTCAGTTGCCATGAGCTTAGTGGGAAGCTGACCTACACTATATTACCAAAAGTATTGGGACGCCTGCCTTAACACGCACATGAACTTTAATGGCATCCCAGTCTTAGTCTGTAGGGTTAAATATTGAGTTGGCCCACCCTTTGCAGCTATGACAGCTTCAACTCTTCTGGGAAGGCGTCCACAAGGTTTAGGATTGTGTCTATGGGAATGTTTGACCATTCTTCCAGAAGCGCATTTGTGAGGTGAGGTACTGATGATGGCCCGGCTCACATTCTCCGCTCTAATTCATCCCAAAGATGTTCTATCAGGTTGAGATCAGGACTCTGTGCGGGCCAGTCAAGTTCCTCCACCCCAAACTCGCTCATCCATGTCTTTATGGACCTTGCTTTGTGCACTGGTGAGCAGTCATGTTGGAACAGGAAGGGGCCATCCCCAAACTGTTCCCACAAAGTTGGGAGCATGAAATTGTCCAAAATGTCTTGGTATGCTGATGCCTTAAGAGTTCCCTTCACTGTAACTAAGGGGCCAAGCCCAACCACTGAAAAACAACCCCACACCATAATCCCCCCGCCACTAAACTGTACACTTGGCACAATGCAGTCCGGCAAGTACCGTTCTCCTGGCAACCCAGACACGTTCATGGGATTGCCAGACACAAAAGCGTGATTCGTCACTACAGAGAACACGTCTCCACTTCTCTAGAGTCCAGTGGCGGCGTGCTTTACACCACTGCATCCGACGCTTTGCATTGCACTTGGTGATGTAAGGCTTGGATGCAGCTTCTCGCCCATGGAAGCCCATTCTATGAAACTCTCTACACACTGTTGTTGTGCTAATCTGAAGGCCACATGAAGTTTGGAGGTCTGTAGCTATTGACTCTGCAGAGAGTTGGCGACTTCTGCGCACTGTGCGCTTTAGCATGCGCTGACCCCGCTCTGTCATTTTACGTGGCCAACTATTTCTTGGCTAATGATTTGGAGGGGTGTCCCAATACTTTTGGTAATATAGTGTATGTTGCTAAGAGCAGATTTTGTCTGCTCCAGTTTTGATGGATCCCCCCACAGTGTTTTGTTTCAATGAATACTAGGCGTTCTCTGATTGGATGAGAGCTGGTGATGTCATGATCTGCCCCTCCATCCAATTTAGATTGCCTAGTATTCATAAAAAAAAATACTAGACATTCTTTGACTGCTGTGCCAAGTGAGTGACCCCTGTGTTTTCAGAACAGAGGGGAAGCCACTCAGCTCTGCACCATACATGACCCAGAAGATCACTGTAAAGCACTGTAGTAGCTCCTGCCTCTACAAAGCTTTATGGGATCCCCAGCTGCCAATAAGATATGGCATTTGCATACCTACATTGGGACAAGCTGGACCAGTGTAAGTATACATCAGGAGTGGAACTCCCGCCGGTGCGGCAGCACCTGGGCCTGGGGGGCCCAGCAGACCCAGGCACCAGACCAGTGGCAAGGTAGGGAAAGAGATGGTGGGGGGGGGTGGCACGGCAGTGAGGCAGAGCAGCCTTCAAGCACATGGTGAGGCTGCGCTGGGGCCTCGGCCGGGAGGACCCAGCAGCTTCCTGATTACACAGCCCGCCACCTCTCAGCTACACGATGTTCCTGCCGCGGAGGAGGAGGTGAGGTGAACCTTTTATTTTCTGTTTGTGCCCAAGTTCTGTGACAGGTTTTTTGTAGTCCTCTATAACTGATGGAATTATTCTGCGTTTCTGTAGAGTATTGCTGGAAGTTGTGGTCCCCTATAGCCAGTACTATTCTGCGTTTCTGTAGAGAGTATTGCTGGAAGTTGTAGTCCCCTCTATAGCCGTTAACGTTCTGTGTTTCTGTAGAGAGTAACGCTGGAAGTTGTAGTCCCCTCTATAGCCGTTAACATTCTGTGTTTCTGTAGAGAGTAATGCTGGAAGTTGTAGTCCCCTATATCCATTACCATTCTGTATAAAGTATTGCTGGGAGTTGTAGTCCTCTATACAGAAATGCAGAATGGTAACGGCTATTTTGTTTCGGTTAATTGGCTCCTGTCTAAATTGACCCTTGTATGTATGTGCGATAGGGACCTTAGATTGTAAGCTACTTGAGGGCAGGGACTGATGTGAATGTGTACTATGTAAAATGCTGTGTAAATTGTCAGCGCTAATAGCAATAATAATATTTATACCTGGAGTTCAGCTTTAACATACTTTATAGTATATACAAATGTTAGGAATTTGGGCTGGTCTGTTTGTCGGCTTTCTTTATTTTCCTTCCAGGGTGAAGTCGGCCCGAAGTTCCTGGGGAGAAGCAGAGAGAGGATGAGGTTGTGCAGGTACAGCTGGTAACTGCATTGGTGATTGACATTTTAGCGGGGAAAGTCGACAGCCAATAATGAAATACTTTTTACACTGAGCCATCAGTAAAGCTGGATATACACTAGATCTTCGTTCAAAATAAAAAATTGCCCCAGAACAATTGGTAAGGTCATCGGAGACTTGTAGAATGTTCTTCCAAATTTCATTTGATTTTAACATTCGGTTCTAGAATGAATGAAGTTTCCCTGAACAAAAAACACATTCACTATTAGAATTTTGTTCATTTAAGAAACATTCTCCATCCTGCTCCTTGCTTTTTGCTGTCACTATGGTCAAAATCGATTGTTGATTTTGACACCATGAACTATTAGAAAATCGAATGGATGTTCCAAAATTGCATTTTTTCCCCCCAATCTTTTATTAACATTTTTCAAAGAAAATATAACAAGAATACAGTCATCACCAGGGCTTGAAAAATGTGATAGTGTCTCACCAGTCAGCATGACCGGAGTATAGCCTTGCAATTTATGTTAAAAAAGTTTGGGGACAGATAGAGCTTTCTTTTGGAGGTATATAATCACCACGGGGGGTATTTTTATTTTACTATATAATTTAAAAAGTACCATAAATGTAAAAAAAAGCAAACAAGTTTCCCTACGTTAGGTTATAAAACATTTATTCTTACCCATATTTTTAGTAGAACATAAAAGTCAGGGTCACGTCGGGTAAATAGACACCAAACATGTCAAGCCTTAAATTGCGTGCGTCCGCAAAAAAAAAAATCGCAAACTACGCCCATAGGTGACGATTAAAACATTTTTACTGTTCATCAGTTTAGTGTTATCAGTGATTAAAGGAGAACTATGCGGTTAGGGATTTTCCCCATAGTTTTCTTTAGGGTAACGGCAGGACACAAATTAGCATCCTCCCATCACCCCAAGCTCAGTATACCGCAAGCTGCAGCTCGCGGTATACTGAGACACCGCAGCTGAAGCGGATCCCGACAATTATGTCTGGATCCGCCCAGCTGCGTGAGTGACAGCTGGCTCTGCCTATCTAGAGGCAGAGCCAGCTGTACCTGCCCCCTCCCCCGTCCGTTCCGCCAGTCAGCGCTGGCGGATTGGAGTGGGGAGGGGGGAATCCAGCCCCTCCCCTGTCACGGCTCTGTGCCGTGACAGGATCGAGAAGTGAGCGAACACCGGTATGTGTTCGCTCACTTCGCGATCTACTGAGCCGACCTGTGGCAGTCTCATTGTCACAGGTCGGCTAGAACTATGAGGTGAGTGAAAAGCACTCACCTCATAGTTCTCCTTTAGGCTGGGTTCCCACCTAGGCGTTCGAAATATGCGTGTATGACGCGCGTTTTGCGGTGCATGTTTTAACCGCGATTTGCAGCCCACAAAACGCGCGTCAAACGCGCGTTTACGAGGGCTATCCGGCTGTATCCTAATGGATACGCGCGGAAATACGCCCCAAAGAAGCTCCTGTACTTCTTTGGGCATAGGGCGTTTTTCAGCACGTTCCGACACGCTGAAATACGCCCAAGTGAGAACCATGCCCATAGGAAATAATGGGATTTCACTTGCAGGGCGTTTTACAGCGCGTCGATCAGCGCTGTAAAACGCCCAGGTGTGAACCCGGCCTTAATGGCTCTAAAATTATTGCTCTCACTCCGTTTGCGGCG